CTCTCTGTGTCTTTCTGGCGAGCGCACATGCCCTATAGCAAAAACCTCTCCCAAAAAAAAGAAAAGAAATATGTGTATTGTCAACACATTCTCAATTGTAAAGCCCTCTGAGAAGTTCAACTAGAACCACATCCTAAACAGTTGGTACAAATTTCATACTTTACACCAGGACGTCCTATTTAGCAGTTCTCTTGTTTGTGGTTCTAATGGAGCCAGAAATTATTTTTCAAATGGATAATTAACTTTCAGAATAAAACTGTTAACAAAATCTAATTTTTCTCATTGCTCTTTCCTGCCAGAAACATCTGAGAGTTTTCATAACTTAAAACATGTTTGATAGGGGCCAGTGGGTGTTGTAGTGTGTGGTGGTTAAGGCGCTAGACACTCCCATGTGGCTGACCATGGTTCAAGTCCCGGACCTGATGACTTCCTTTCTCACTTTCTCTCTCTTTCAACCTCTCTCTCTCTCTCTCTGGTCAAATCAAATTAAAATAAAGGAATTAATAAATAAATTAAATAATTCTTTAAAAAATGTTTGATAATAAACACATTAATGTGATGTCTTAGGTAATTTTCATGGTCTAAAGACAAGTCTAGATATTATATTAAAGAGGAATGATTTCATTTTAAAGACTTCATGATAAAAATTCATAGACATATAAGTGAATTCATAAAGTAAAGAAAAACAATTTGACTTTAATTTATTGATTGTTTTACATAAATTAGATTTGGGTTTTGGCCATTTAGATAATTGAGTCTATTCGTCAGTGTGTTTTGGTAGCTTCATTTCTTTTTATTTAGTTCTTGTTTTATTTAGTCTTAGATGTGCTAAGGACCTGCTTTTGAAATTATTCCACTGCCCAGGTAGAGAACATGCCTAAGGTTGGCACAGAGGCCAGGCCGCATATACCTTCCTATGTCTGGGTTCTCTTCACCTGGTTTTGGCTAATCATCAACTCACTTCTAGAAGGTAAAACCAAACCTGCTGCCTTCGTGTGTGTGCACACACCCATGGACATGGACGGGTATGATTATTAGAATGATTTTCATGTACCACCGCCCAAGTCAAAATATCCAAGCTCCAAGAGGGACATGAAAGAAAATCAATTAATGAGAATTTTTAAATAAATGACAGCATTTATTTAAAGGAACTGTTCCTTAATGGGCATATAACTCACAACCAAGAGAAATCAGGGAAAGAATAGGAAAATGCACCATGGCCATTGCTTCGGTGAGGGGTCATGGAGCCATGCTTGCCCAGCCAGACACGTGGACCATGACCTAATGCCCGGTACAGACCATCTGGGAGCTGCGCTGTCTTGCTGCCCATCCTGCTGCCCAGGGGTCTGTCCCAGTATATACCTCCACTTGCTTAATATGTGAGATTCATCTGAATCGTTGTGTGAGGTCCTCTCTGAGCCTTACTCTACATGTATCCAAGAATAGATCCTCTCTAAGACACTGTGTGCCAGAAAGAACATTGGCCAGGACCAGCAGTTAGTGTAATGGCTATGTTGCTGGACTCCCATGTAGTCGACCACAGTTCGAGTCCTGGACCCAGTGGCTTAAACTCACGCCGGGCACGTGTGCGTGCATGCCCAAGATCCCGAGAGAAGAATGAGGAGAAGGGATTGCGGCTCTCTTTGTCTCTCTCTGTCTTTCTGGTGAGTGCACACGCCCTATAGCAAAAAAAAATAAAAACCTCTAAAAAAAAAAAAGAAAGAAAGAAAGAGCATTGGCCCAGGATAAAGAAAGCTGAGTTCACGTCCTGTCACCCACAGGCCTGTTTCAAGCCTTCATTTTCCTATTAAGGACTGTAACAGGTGAATTACCAGGTCCTTTTTTTTTTCCAGTTCCAAATCTGATTCTATGGATCAAACTCAGACATAGAAGGGCTGATGAGAATCAAATCCATGACTATGATTTGATAAATATGCTCAGTTGACGAGATTGCCCAAGGTCAGCTTGAGAGAGCAACACTCTAACATCCAGCAGGTCTGGAGAAGTCCTTCTGGCGACCCTATTCCAGGCATTCCCAAGTCTGGCTTTTGCTGGAATGACCAGTGGAGCTCATGGACCGAGCTCCTGGGCCCTACTTGAGCATCAAGACAGTGCTGGACATCTATATTCTTCAAGTTTGTTTATGTAATTTTAAATGACTAAATTGCTTACATGGCTAAACAACTTTTTTTTTTTTTTTGGAGAGATTTTCATTATAGGGCGCGTGCGCTCGCCAGACAGACAGAGAGAGCCATAGAGACAGAAAGCAAGAAATCACCCCCCAGGGGGGATGGTCATGCTGCAATCCCTTCTCCTCCATTCTCCTCTTGGGATCTTGGGCATGCACGCACACGCGCCCGGCGTGAGTTTTAAGCCACCGGGTCCAGGACGCAAACCACAGTCGACTACGTGGGAGTCCAGCGATATAGCCATTACGCTAACTGCTGGTTCCCAATAACTTTTTAAAATATATAAAAAGATTCCATTTAAGGTCTCTCCCATTTCTGTCTCCCATCTGCTCAGTTCCTACTCCTGTAGCCTCTCTGGGTAGCCAATATCATTCGTGTGTATGTACGTGTGTGTCCAAAAATTCTTTTTCCTTATGCAAGAAACAAACAACAACAACAAAAAAGAAAAAAGAAAAGAAACTCTGCCATTCCACCCCTCTTAAAATAAAAGAGAACGTTACCACTACATATAATTCCACTGCGTGGATGAAGCACAACTTTATAAACTGTCTCCAATTAACAGGCATTTAGGTTGGTTCCAGGCCTCCAGAGTCCTATTCATAACTTGCAAAGATACCAATGAACTCCCAGGCATCTTTTTTTTTCTTTTTAACAGCTCCTGCATGATATTCACTTATAATTCAGTTTGCGGGAAGGACAGACCATTCCCTGAACCAAGGCTTCTTAAACTTCAGTATTTAACTTCTTAAACTATGAGTCAATCACCCAGGGACCTTCCTAAATTCAGATTCTGTTTCATGAGCTCTGGAGCTGGCCAGAGACGGCATTTCTAGCAAGCTCTTCTGTGATGCCAAAGATGCTGGCCTCAGGACCGCACTTTGAGTAGCAAGACCTAGAAACTCACACACAGTGAAACAAGATTCCCAGGCCTCAGCTGTCACGTCAGGAATATGATAAACCTTAGAGCGTCCAAGACCTGAATTCCAGTCCTAGGGCAGCAATTCACTCGCTGAGGGTCCTAGCTCTAAATCTTACCGTTTTCTGAGCCTCCAGCTTCTCATCTGCAAAGCAGTACTGCAAGGATAAGGTTGTAAAGAAGATATGCAATGGCATTGATACTTTTCCAAAACTTTGTGCTGAGCAAAAGCAGCCAGACTAGAGGACATACTGAAAGACTCTATCTTTGTGGAATTTTGTAACAGGCAAAACTAATCTGCGGTGATAGAAATCCCAACACTGGGAGCCTCGGGGTTGGGAAGTAGACTGAGAAGACAGAGTGGAAAACTTCGGGCAAGTGGCAATCTTGCCTGTCTGGGTGGATACAGGGGCATATACATTTGTCAAAACTCATTGAACTGTAGACTTAAAATCTGTACGCTGGAAGTTATACCTAAATTGTAAAATACACGGAAAGTAAATGATACTATCTTGTGTAAACTGTGAAGTGCCATCAAAATGTTAAGTTAGTCTTATCTTAGGGAAATGTACCCCCGATGTCCTCTGTAGGGAAGAGGCCACCATCTGCTGAGGGACCAGAGACAGCGCCCACCCAGCCCCTGGGGGCCTGCGTGCTCCCGGGCCGGCGCCGCTGGGGCGACTCACACCCTGCCTCCGTTTCCCCCCCCCGCCGCGCCTGGGGGGCCTGCGGGCTCCCGGGCCGGCGCCGCTGGGGCGACTCACACCCTGCCTCAGTTTCCCCCCACGGCCGCGCTTACTTGCTGCGGAACTCGTCGAGCGCGCGCTGCGCCTCCGCGCCCTGCCTCTCCAGGCGCGCGCGTTCGGTTGCAAGGTCCCGGGCGCGCTGGCGGTTGCCCTCGACGTGGCGAGCGAGGGCGTCCTCAGGCCCGGCCAGCTCGCCCAGGCGCTGGAAGGCGTCCAGCTGCCGCCGGAGGCCAGCGTGGCGCTGCTCAAGAGCGCGGGCTCGTTGGATGTGGACGGCCACGCGCTCGCCGAGCCCCTGCAGCGCGGCCAGGCTGGGCGCCCCGACCCGGCCCTCATCCGCTGGACGCTCAGGCTCCACCGCGCGCTGCGCCTCGTCGGTGCGCTCATACTGCTCCTTGCGGGTCTGGAAGACGTAGCTGCGCCGGTACATGGCTCCTCTGCAGCGTGCGAGCGCGGCCGGGTCTCCAGGAGGCCCCCACCGGGCCCGCAGCCTCCTAAATAAACATCGGGGGGGGCCCGGGCACGCTGCTGGGACGTTCCAGAGCGGGTCAGCAGAGAGCTGCGCACTGTGCCCGGGAGCGAAGAATAGAAGCGCCCCAGCCTGCTTTGTGTGCGGGATTAGTGGCCCACACAGCTCTGGGGTTGGGAGGTTACATTTGGCAGTGAGGGTTTTTGTTCCGCGATTGTTAAGGCCTGTTGCTCTGTGATTGAATGGGAGGTCAAGGGGACAAGAGTAATGGCGTTCTTTTGACGGGTCCACTGGGAACTGTGAAGGAAACCCAAGGCGAGCTCATTAAATGTGGGCTTAGTTCAAGAACCAGGACTCGTGGCTTTTGCTCTTCTCTTTCAATCAAGCTTCAATGAGGGAACAATTTAACAAGACCATTTTTATCTGCATCCTTAAGCAATTCTTTTTCTTAAATGATACTGTGACGCTTAGTCACCTTCTCTATGGCAAAGGTCGTAACCATGGGTGCAAAATAAAATGGAGTGCCTCCGTAGTGAGGTGTGTTGCTGGTCGTGTCTTGCTAACATGTGTGCATAATCTCTGGAGCCAGCCCTCGGAGTGGTGGTGGTTAAGGTGGTGGACAATTGCAGCACAACCATCACCATGGAGGGTGTTTTGTCAGTCTGCCTCTCTCTGGCCCATGGAGTGGCGGTTAAGGTGATGGGATCCCACGTAGCTGACTGAGCGGTTGGAGTCCCAGACCAGCAGCTTGAAAAACACACAGGACTCATACATGCCAGAAATCCTGAAAGAAGGAAGAAATGGAGAAGGGATTGCAGCCTTACATCCCCCATAGAGGGTGTTTTCATATTCCCTCTCTCTTCCTCTTTCTCTCTCTGGAGTTTATACCACTCCGGAAAAAAGACTTTTTCAGAGAGAGATTTTTGCTGTAGGACACGTGTAGTCATCAGAGACACAGAGACAGAGAGAGAGAGAAAGTGAGAAATCACTCCCTAGGGAGGATAGTCATGCTATAATCCCTTCTCCATTCTTCTCTTGGGATTTTGGGCATGTGCACACATGCATCTGGTGTGAGTTTCAAGCTGTCGGGTCCAGGACTCAAACTGCTATTTCCCATGTGGGAATCCAGCACCCACTACACCACCTGCTGCTCCCGCAAAAAAAAAAAAAAAAAAATCAATGCTGTCCAGTAACTTGGGAAACAGGCATCGTTTTGTCATTACATGCCGCTCTTGGTCTCCTGGATTTTTTTTTTTTTTTGAGAGGTTTTTTTTTTTCACTATAGGGCGTGTGCGCTCGCCAGACAGAGACATAGAGACAAAAAGTGAGAAATCACCCCCCAGGGGGGATGGTCACACCGCAATCCCTTCTCCTCCATTCTCCTCCCGGGATCTTGGGCACGCACGCACACGCGCCCGGCGTGAGTTTTAAGCCACCGGGTCCGGGACACGAACCGCGGCCGACTACGTGGGAGTCCAGCGACATAGCCATTACGCTAACTGCTGGTTCCTGGTCTCCTGGATTTTGACATCCTTTCTTGAGCAGAAAAAAAAACAAGTGGAACTCCATCCATGACATTGCAATCCGTAAGTTTTTCAAAAGAAGATTCTTGCAGCCTATAGATTTAATAAATTGGTCACCAGTCACTTAGAGCAGTGGTCCCCAAACCCCCAGGGATAGATCTGGGCCAATCCAAGGCCTTTTGAGGGCAGGACGCATTCTGGAGCCAGGCCAATGGGCCACACAGCTGGAGGTGGGTGCTGGCCAGCAAGCCAGGCTTGGTCCGTGTTTGCAGCTGCCCTTCAGGGCTCCATTGCATCCTGGCTTTCACTTCCTGTCTAATCAGCTCCAGTCCTGGCATCTCATGGGAGCAGGGCCCTATTGTGTGATTTTTTTTTCACTATGTATGACAGTGTGCTAGGGGCAGAAGTAGGGAGAAGGGTGGATGTGGTACACTTGGATCATCCTAGGACCAGCTCCCCTGCAATCAATGGACAGATTGTTCTCCACGAGGCTGGTCCCTGGTGCAGGAAGGTTGGGGACGGCTGACTGAGAGAATAATAAAGGCATTTTTTGCCATTACGTTTCAGTTTAACTTTTATTATGGAAATAATAGTTGTATTTTGATGACAAGCTTTAAAATAGGTATATATACATACATACACATATATAACAACTAGGCTGTGGCTAATTTAAAAGTGAATTGCAGGGGCTGGCAGGTGGCGGGGTGGTTAAAGGAGCTGGATTCCCACATGGCGGAACAGAGTTCAAGTCCTGGACCTCGCAGCTGCTTTCTCTCTTTCCC